GACATGCAGATTCCCAGGGCCCCTCCCAACTATTCTGATTCCATTGGGCAAGGTGTGGCCCTGGAATGTGCCTAGTTAACCAGAGGCTTAGAGCTCTGGGAGTGGACAAATTTGCCAAACAGTGACTTTAGAAGCCCAATTCAATTTAAATCCTGGAGTTGTTCATAAAGACCTCCACTGAGTTCTATAGCTTTTCCTTCTTTACCAGGTGACAAAGATTCGAAAAGTCAGGGAAGGCAGGTGGCAGGGGTGGAATAAAGCTGCAAAGGGTCTTCTTGAAGTTTCCCATGCCACTTGGCATCGACCCCATGTACAGAACACTTGTGGGAAGGTCTAACATAATCACACCTCCTCAGGATCTTGGGAGAGATCCTGTTCTAAGGAATTTGCTAAAGCACTGCTGCTATGTCCTGGAAAAGAAAGCAACATTGGGCTTATAGCTCTGCTGTGGCTGGAACCATCACATGCCAAGTTGGGAAACTGCCAGGGCAGAGGACTCTGTACCCAAGCTGCAGGATAACTGTCCAGAGCAGTGCATGGCTCAGTGAATGGCAGCTTCTACCCTGAGAACAGTAAAAGGGTACAGCGTGCTTCTGTGGTCTGGGCTTGCCTGGCACTGATCCTTGCCTTCTTCTGGTAATGCCCCCTGGATTTTTCTAAGGAGAGACAACCCTCCTGCCATGTTTGATTGATCTAGTGTAGGCAGGCTGACCCCAGCCCCAAATCTAGGTTTAGATGAGTGACACAGTCCTAGGCCAACCGGTGAATGCCACCTCTCTGTTCATGTGATGGATTAGTTCAGGGATGGGCCCAGGCTCAATTCTAGCCAATGAGCCAAGGACCCAGGTTGTTCTCAGTAGCACCCCCCTTACCTTTCTACCTGGAGCTCTTTTTGGCTGCCGTAGCCGTCTTACCTCTGAGAGGGGCACCCTGCCAGAGAAGGAAGCCAGTGGGGAGAAAAATAGATCTGAGAGAGGGAGGGAGAGCAGGATTGAATTGGTATCACTGTTTCAGGCCCAAACTCAGCCAGGCCTCATCTACCCCAGCCTTTCCAGGAAACAGTATACCTTTTTGTCTTGAGTCTGATTGAGTTGGGTTTCTATACTTCATAACAAAAAGAACATGAATAAAGTAAAAAAAAAAAATATATATATATATATATATATACACACACACACACACACACATATATATATATATATATATATTTTAACTAATAGTTAAAAACAAACACCCCTGTTGCTTGCTTATAGGCTGGTATTGCCAGGGAGCCCACAACATAGGGACATATGGGGAAGGGGGCTGCCCTGGGTTACAATTTCCCATTTCTTCCCTTGCAACCATGACCTGAGAGCTGGGTCCTACCCTTTCTCTCTCTTCACTCCCCAGCTCTTCACTCAGCTCAGATGGCCAGGTTATAGTGGCCCACCTTTGTGACAGAAAGGGACTGGATTAAACTATTCCTCCCGTCCTTAGTGTTTATTAGTTCTGAATCTTGGTCAAATTCTTGGTATGAGTAGCACCCGGCTCTCCTGCAGAATAACCCTGCAGTTCCTTGGAGGGTTTGCGGACTCGGGCTGCCTTAGAGGAGATGGTCTGGACTGTCCATCTCAACCCCAGGGGTGAGGAAAGCCTCAGGAGACCATGACAGTCCAAGGCTTTGGAAGAGCCTTGGACGGGAGTGACTCCACTCCTGGCACCTCTACCACCTGCCTGTGCTGTTCTGAGAAGAGTCTGCAGTAGGAGTTGGCTCCTTCTTGCCATTTAAGCTGTGGTGAACATACAGAGTCACAAAGCAGGAGCTATTCAGAGCCAATCTTGTTACCACATCACTTACAGGCCCAGGAGTCTCCCACCCGAAAGTCTTGCCTGGGGCATCCTCACTTGCCCCAGTGCTCCTCTGCCAGTGTCCCATCTCAGAAGCCCTGGCTGCTCACCTTTAATACTTTTTGTCATTCTTTAGAACATTGAACCAAAGACTGACCTTTCCTTTGGCAACAACCTTGGGTGCAAATGGCACAAAGACCCCGACAGGCAGGAGCTCACCTCCAGACCCCAGTGTGCAGGTTTGCTGAGGTGTCCTTGTCAGTAATAGCTGGGACAAGACACAAATAGCTCACATTCTTTTAAATATTTGTTTCCTCCTGTTTGTTCCAGGGGGAAGGCGCCTGCACCTGAGTAGGGACAATGATGTTGGAAGTCGTTGGAGGAGGTCAGTCCTCCTGCATGTAGACCATTTGCTGCGCCTTTCCCCGAAGCCGACCCAGAGGGCATGCATTCAAAAGCCCCTCATTAGGCCTCTCTCTGCAGGCAAACAAATATCATTAATCTTGGTAAAGTGAGTGAAAGCACATTCACCTGTCCAAGCAAGAGAATTAATGTTGTGTCAATAGGAAATTAGTGTTTACCTCTGGCCTTTACATCTCCCCTTTGCTACAGAAAGCCTAGGGCAGACCAGCCCAAAGATAGAGCCACAGCCAGAGGAGAGAAAAGTACCACAGGTGCAGGTCTGGTGCTGTGCTGGGGATGGGGTGTCAGGTGACAGAGAGGCCCTGCTGAGAGGAGTTCCCTAGAGCAGGGAGAGGACAGGAGCAGTGCCTCAGGTCAGAGATTCTCACTGGACCCTGAGCCCCAGGGAGGCATGCTCCCCCACCCCACCAGGTCACACAAAGGTGATGGGAGACCCTTTCCGTTCCGGTGCACGTAGCTATGAGCCATGATCTCTCATACCAGGCAGGCAGTGCACGGAGCCGCACAGGCCAAAGGGGACAACGTTACTGACCAAAGAGCTGTTTACTGAGCACCTGCTAACTGCTGGGCATGGTGTGTGATGACTGCCAGACACTCTCTAAAAATCCTACAAAGCAAGCATTCTGCCTTTTTTCTCAGATGAAGAAGTCACTGCAATGCCAAAAAATTCAAGAGGCTAGCTTCAAGGCCATTCAGAGGGAGGTGGAGGATTTGGACCCAGTCTGACTCCACAGCCACACACCAGGAGGGCAGCCACCGTACTTCGGTCAAGTGCAAAGACCGGAAGACTCTGAGAACGCCTTTCTGAGTCACTCTCCCCCCTCCACCCAGCAGAAATGCCTCCGGGCGGGAGGGTCGGGGAGAGGCAGGGCAGGGCTGGAGAACTCGGTGAGGGTGTGTGCGTGCCTGCGTGTCTCAGGAAAAGAAACCCAACGGGCCGATAAGATCTCCCGTTTCCAGAGCAAAGCACCAATTAAACACACGGCAGATGTGAGCAAATAAAGCTGTGGCGTCCAGAGAGAAAATCAATACCAGATTATACGTCCTAGCCCAATCAAATACCAATTAATACAGAGCGGGTGGGGCTGGGGGCGGGTGAGTCT